GTTCAATTACGTTCAATAGGATATTTTACGAATATTATAATTATATTGATTAAATTGTAGTAAGTAGCTTTGTTCGTAGTTTTATTTAATATAAAAGCGTTAGTAAACGGGCCGCAAGTGTTACTAGAGACTCAAAATATCAACCTTTTTGAAATGTTAATATGAAAATGCACTTTTTGGCATATTTTCTCAAAACACGGTGCTCTGAAAGATCTCATTTGTATAATTATATACTCATTGGTATTTATAAAAACATTTTCGAGGTTATATTATTTTTTATTTATCTTATTTAGATTCAGAACCTAAATTTGGTATCGATCAAATGGACATTTTGTCGAATAACATTTTTCAATTATAATTTCCCAGAATTTATCGCAGAATAGATAGTAATATATGAAGGTCCGGGATTAAAAAGGTCCACCACCGATGTGCCAAAAATCAGTAAAGTTAAGCATTGTTTACAACAATATTTGAAAGTAGAGGAAAAAAGATGTATAGCCAGCTACAACTTGATTTGAAAACGATAATCTTTGAAATGGGGGATATAAACGGTAATCTTTGAAAATCCATAATAAAAGTATTTTCTTCCGTCGGTAGTTTTAGCATTAGTTAAAAATGTAATTATTATGTAAATACCTTTAAAATCAAGGCAAATTGCTGGATCTTCCCGTTCCATAACGAAATGTTCGAGGACTATTTAATGTTTTCAAATAGATTATTATTATAAATACTGTGGCATTGTTTAATATTTTCGAAATCTAATTTATTGTCGATGTACAAAAAAAATTGTTTTGTCAAACAAGCAAAAAGTTTTTTGAATCATTCAAATCGTATGCTTAGTTCTCTCAAAAACTGCAATTTTTTGTTCATTTAGCTCGGTATTTCCGAAACGGCTGGATCTGTCTTTGCCAAAACTAACAACCTCTTCTCCCAATAATTACTAATTGAATGCTTTTTAGATCATTCAAATCGGATACTCCGTTCTCTCAAAAACTCGATTTGTATTTTCTGCACTCTTTGCTCTTTATCTCCGTAACTGCTGGACCTGCCTTTGCCAAAAACTAATCAGCTCTTTTCCCTATCGATAGGAATCGAATGTTTTTTGAACCATTCAAATCGGTTGATCCGTGCGCCCGAAAACGTGACTGGAAATTTGTATCCATACATACATACACACACACACACATCCATTTTTTCTGAGGTATGCCAAAACGTTCAGAAACCTTCAAAACGTCGAGAAATGTAAAAATTTTCAATTCCGATTTTCGGCCCACTACAATAACTTACCCTACGGGAAGTTAATAATTAGAATGATAAATAAATATTCTTTAATTTTATATATTTCTATATTTTGGGGGCCCCCAAACAAATTTTGATACGGGATATTTATGAAATGTGAGTTTTTGTTATCGTATGTTGTTTTTTTTTTAGCAAGTTGAGTATGAGAATATACAATCAGGCGAACCGAAAAAGCAGGAATCGAAATCTGTGGTTTTGCCAAGGAGACATCAGTCGTTGAACGATGTGCCGAGTACGCAGGACGTCGATAGGGCTTCAATGGATTTTGAAAATTTGGTCGAGTCTGATTTTAATTTTGAGACTGATGATGCGTTTTACGAGCCTGGGGAAGTGCCTGTCGATGAAATAGGTAAATAAATAATAAAGTTTATCAACATTATCTCAAAATCAAGTATTTGATACTATTTTGAAGTAAGAGGCAAAAAAATTGCATCCAAACATCACTTCAAATCCAACGACGTCGCTATGGTGAGATAAACTGCCACCATGTCTATTTTTTGGTTGTGAGCACTGTTGTTTAGTTTAGTATAAGTTGATTATAAGAGAATACTAGTGGTGTGTGTGTATCGTGCCTTAAGGCAAATTGCTGGAACTTCCCGTACCGTAATGAAATTTTTGAGAAATTTTAAACGTTTTCAAATATATTATTACAAATACTGTAACTTTCATTATTTTTGCTATCTTCTTATAACTGACAAATTTTGCAAAAAAAAACATTGGCAGAGACAAATTTATTAAAATACAAATATAAAAAACAAAAATACTCTTGAAAAATAATTTGCTGAAGCATCAAAATTATTCTGTTAATGAATTTTTATGATCTAAATATATATTATATACATACATGTGATAATGTATAAATGATATAAAACATATATATATAAAAAAAATTAATAAAAAATCATAAATAAAAAAGAGACATTAAAAAAATATGTATGTTAATTAGTATATAAATGTGTTAATAAGTAAATAAATAAAACAATAATAAACTAGTGGTGTATGGCATTGTGCCTTAAGGCAAATTGCTGGAACTTCTCGTACCGTAATGAAATATTCGAGGAATTTTAAACGTTTTTAAATATATTATTGCAAATACTGTAACTTTCATTATTTTTGCTATCTTGTTATATCCGAGCATATCAATGTAAATCATAAATAAATCAATTTATCTCCAGAACATTAACAATCGTTCGTCACTTTATTTCGAATTCAATTTCCAAAAAAATAGTAGTATAGTCACAGTCTAAACGCATTTGCGAATAATTCTGTGCGACATTTTCACTTATACTGTGCTTAGCTTGGCGGCATTTTCACATTTTTCAATAAGTTTTCACAAAATTGGAAAAGTGACATGAACAGTCTAAAAACGCACTTGGGTAAACATTTGTACCAGAGTGGCGCTTAGACTGTGCTTAGCCTTTGAATTTTTAATCCAAATTACAAAAATATTTTTTGAAAAAAAATTAGAAACATTTTTTTTTTCCAAAAGCAATTATTTTGTTGAAACAAGCAGAAAGTTCTTTGAATCACTTAAATCGGACGCTTAGTTTTCTCAAAAACTACCATTTTTTTCAACATTTGGCTCTGCATCTCCGAAACCGCTGGGCCTACCTTGCCAAAAACTAATAACCACTTTTCCTTACGAACTGAATGTTTTTTGGATCATACAAATCGGATGCTCCGTTCTATCAAAAACTCTTTGCTCTTTATCTCCGTAACTGCAGGACCTGCCTTTGCCAAAGACTAATTAGCACATCTATCAATAGGGATCGAATGTTTTTTGAACTATTCAAATTGGTTGATCCGTGCGCCCGAAAACGTGGACGAAAAAATTCGGACATACAAAACACACACACGCACACACATCCATTTAGTTTCTGAGGTATGCCCCTTAAAAATGTTCAGAAACCTTCAAAACGTCGAGAAATGCAAAAATTTTGATTTTCGGCCCATTACTATAACTACCTTACGGGAAGTTAAAAATGACGACGTCGCTATCGCGAGATAAACTGCCACATTGTCAATTTTCCACCGAAAGTATTTTTTGATTTTGAGTACTATTGTTTAGCTTACAACATCTGCATATAATCTTTAAGTACAGTAGAACTCCAATTATCCGAATTAATGGGGACCGGGACCGATTCGGATAATCAAATATTCGGATAATCGGAGTTTTTTTTTAAAATTGCCATTGGAGAGAAAAAAGTTACGTTTTGATATTGCACTATTTTTTTTATTGAATTAAATGAAAGAAACATGACATTTTCACATGTTTTAAATATAAATAAAATGTACTTAAACGAGTTAAAAAAAAATGTGCAAGTTTAGAAATAACTAGCTGTAAGTGGAAATCTGTCTTAAGGCAATTAGGGCATCGTGCCTTAAGGCAAATTGCTGGAACTTCCCGTACCAAAAATTATTATTTTTTTTAAAAACGATTAACATTTTTGAAAAAAAATTACTTCGAAAAAATAAGATTTTTGAGAAACTATAAATTTGACAAAAAACTACTTTTTTTTGAAAAAAAAAATGAAAAAAAAAATAATTTAAATTTTTTTTTTTAAAATCTTTTTTTTTTGAAAAAAAATGTTTTCTTTATTTTGACATATGTTGGAAAATCTGAACTTTTTTTCAAAGCAATCGTACTGCTTTAAATGCATAGAGACAAAATAAAAGCGCATAAGCGCCGCGTCGCTGTCTAACGGGTAAACATTGGTACGGAACCCATAGGAATGTAAAGAAATTTATACTTGTTGTTAAAATCTCTATAAAATATCTGATAATTTGATGTGCATATGTCTAATGATCATTTTTGACCGCCAAATGGCATTTTTTTTACGTTTTTCGTTATATCTCCGAAACCGCTAAACCTGCCCCTATAAAAATTTGATCAAATCTTCATCTTGTCAATACAAGTAAAATGTTTTTTGAATTATTAAAATCGGACGCTCCGTTCTATTAAAAACTGAGGTACCGTTTTTGGCACTTTTTGCCCCATATCTTTGGAACGGCTAGACCTACCTCCGCCAAAAACTAATCAGCACGTCTTCTTATCAATACGGATCGAATGTTTTTTAATTTATTCAAATTGCTTCATCCGTGTTCCCGAAATCGTCGACGAAAATTTGTATCCGCACACACATACATACTACGCACACACACACACACATACATCCATTTTTTCTAAGGTATGCCAAATATTCAGAAACCTCTGAAACGTAAAGATATATAAAAATTTTCAATTTGATTTTTTTTGCGATTACTATAACTTACCCTACGGAAAGTTAAAAATCATTGTTTTGTAAACATCTCCGTCAAATCAAAGCAAACAATGTGCCTACACTCATTCCATTTGCTGGTGGAAGGATAATAGCGCACTTTTTTGGGACAATTTTTTTTCTGAAAGTGATTCGGATAATCGGGAGATTCGGATAGTCGAATTTCGGATAATTGGAGTTCGGATAGTCGGGGTTCGGATAATTGGAGTTCTACTGTATATGTTATTTAATTGTTTTATAAGATGTATTGTTAATTTTAAGTTAGATTAATACCTTTACACTGGCAAACATGTTAACAATAAGAAAGAATATAAGTACACCTAAGTCCGTGTAAAAAAAAAACGTGTAAAAAAAGACATTGATCTTATACAAAAATGGGTGATTTGTTCCTAATCTCTAAAACCTATTAAAATTAGTGAAAAACAAGAATTTTTAGAGTATTCTTCTAAATTAGTGCTATTCACATTTGCTTTGACCAGTAAAAATTGTTTGTACGCGCTAAAGGGGAATTCACTTAAATCTTTAAGCTAGTGTTCGCAAACTATCGATACTATCGATGGTTTCAGACTTTTTTCTTTCAAAAGTACTTTTTTGTGATATGAACATACATCGCAAAAATTAAATTTGACAAAAAAAATTTAAGTACATAAAATTTCAAATCGTGCTAAATGGAATAAAATCGTGTAAAAAAATTAAAAATATTCAATTTTCAAACCGTGTTATATCAAAACCGTGTACAAAAACACCGTGTAAAAACAGACTTAGGTGTAATTTGATTTTTATCATATTGTCATTCAGATACTGCAGTGTCTGCAGCAGCGAGACCAAGGCTGGCTTCGGCAGATGCTGCTGTTTCAGTTACCATACCAGGTGTAAATTTGGATAAAAATACTATTGCAGAGCATGATGTTAGCTGTGAAGATTTACTGGATTTTGCAGGTAAATTATAATTTATCACATTACAGTAGAAACTAGTTGTAAGTGGCATTTTGTCAAGGCACCTTGCATGTAATTTGCGATACGGGTAACTAATCGATTTAAATAATAACCAGTGGTGTATGGCATCGTGCCTTAAGGCAAATTGCAGGAACTTCTCGTACCGTAACGAAATGTTCGAGGAATACTGAATGTTTTCAAATAGATTATTATTAATATTGTAACATTGTCTAATATTTATAAGAATTATATAAACTGAATTGCAAAGTTGAAATCATTTGTTTAAAGTATATTAGAACTATAGTCAGAATTAAAAATAAAATCTGTATTATTTTCGATATACAAAAAAAAAATTTCCTTGAAAAAAAAAATCTTTTTTGAAAAATAAAATTAGAAACATTTTTTTTTCCAAACGCAATTATTTTGTTGAAACTAGCAGAGAGTTCTTTGAATCATTCAAATCGGTCGCTTAGTTTTCTCAAAAACTGCCATTTATTGCACATTTAGCTCCGTATCTCCGAAACGGCTGGACCTGCCTTTGCCAAAAACTAATCAGCTATCAATAGGAATTGAATGTTTTATGAACCATTCAAATCGGTTGATCCGTGCGCCCGAAAAATTGTATCCATACATACACACATACACACACACATCAATTTTTTTTTAGGTATGCCAAAATGTTCAGAAATCTTCAAAACGTCGAGAAATGCAAAAATTTTCATTTTTGATTTTCGACCCATTACTATAACTTACCCTACGGGAAGTTAAAAAAGAGCCAATAAAGTGATATAATAAGTAACAATTGCCTGGTTTAACAATAAATAAATATAATGTGATGTTTACTGTTTATTTTATACTATTTATACATTCTTTTACATATTTGAGAAGAATATTTTATCCTAATTAACTTCTTTCCTAATATTTAAATTCAATTTAAGAAATGTTTATATTTTATTGATTATTATTACATTTTCCACTATAAATTGCCATGTTTTCCTTTGTGAATGTTCATGTGTTTTGCAGATGATGGAATTGTGTGAATGTCTTATTACAAACATTGCATCGATGAGGGCGTATTCCTTTGTGAATCAGCATATGTCTTTGCAGATTATTTGATTGTGTGAATGTTTTATTACAAACATCGCATTTATGAGGGCGTATTCCTTTGTGAATGTTCATGTGTTTTTTCAGATTACCGAATAGTGAGAATGTCTTATTGCATATGCTGCATTTATGTGGCTCACCAACGTGAATGCTCATGTGTGCTTTCAGATTACTTGATAGTGTGAATGTCTTATTACAATCATTGCATCGATGAGGGCGTATTCCTTTGTGAATAAGCATGTGACGTTTGAGACTTCCTAACTTCGTGAATGTCTTGTTACAAACATTGCATTGATGAGGGCGTATTCCTTTGTGAATTTGCATGTGTGTTTTCAGATAACTTGATTGTGCGAATGTCTTGTTGCATATACTGCATTTATGGGGGCGTTTTCCACTATGCAAAAGCATGTGAGTTTT